GAGGCTTCAGAGCTGCAAGCTTAGTTTGAACAGCGTGTGGGGCACACACGAATCTCCTCTTTCACCTTTGCTGGTGTCATTCAGAAGACAGTGATTTCTCCCCTTTTAGACAACTGCGTGGGCTGCAGGCAGCATAGCAACCAGCAAGTGCAGCAGGCTTTCTCTTTGAGGGTTCCAACACTGACACGGGACTGCTGGTCACCATCTTACACCTACAGAAAAAGCAGTGTGACCAGAGCTCTGCCTGTCCTGGACTGCTGCTCAGAGATGGACAGGAAAGGGATGGAGAGCAGGCCTGGTGTTTGTAACATCCCTCTCTAAGGAGATACATATTGCCCTCTATCATCCCCAAAGCAAGCTGGAACTGTGCCAGTGAAGGAATCATGCATTTCTTTATGGCTAGATCCTGGTTTAGTTTGTGATATGCTAATTTTAGGGATCTCACCAGATCATGTGAGAAATATGGGATTCCTGTAGCCCAGCAGGAATCGGTTGCTGGTGGAGTACACCTGCTTCCCCAGAGCAATGCCATGGCTTCCCTGACAGGCTGTTTCCTTGACAAGTTTGAAGCTTCTTTTGTGATCTGATTCAGGTCTAACCAAAGGGTATCCAAGAAAGCCAGGAACTGTCCAATAACCATTTTCATTGCATTGTATGAAGCACTGTGAAAGAAAACACTTGTTTTGGGCGAGTGGTGTGACTAAGTGCCTTTAACCATAAAACATCTTTGCCTATTGAGAAACTCTTGCAATGACAAATTTGCCACATCAACCCTGCATGCCTGAACTGGGTTAGAAAATTAGAGACATTTCTGTTTTCTTCAAGAACTGTTCAGTTAAACTCCGCTACTCACCCGTTAACAAACTATGCAGCAGAAGTATTCTGTTTCGATCACCTTCCTAGAAGCAGACAGGCACTCTTACCCACTGGATGCCACAAGTTATCTTGAACTCCCATGATTAGTTTTAACTGGTGAACTCTGTCAAATTTCCTTTCAATAGCTTCAAGTTCCTCCAACTCTTGCAGCTCTGCTAGTGACGGGGGACCAGCAGCAGTCAGAAAAGGGAACACTCTTATATCTTGGTTGCTTCTCCAAAAGGTGGTGTCTTTGCCACTTTTCATTAGCAGCACACACAGAGATGCCAGGCTCAGCAGTCAAAGCACGGCAAAACATATCCCTGTCCAGGCTGACTCCCAACAGCCACAGGACAGTGCTGCAACCTACCAGTGCCCTGAATGTGCAGGCAGGTAGCAGTGGCTTAGAATCATAGACTAGTTTGGGTTGGAAGGGACACCTTCTACTATAGCGGGTTGCTCAAAGCCCCATCTAGCCTGGCCTTGAACACTGCCAGGGATGGGCAGCCACAGCTTCTCTGGGCAGTCTGTGCCCTTGCCTCAGCACCCTCATAATGAATGATTTTCTTCCCAATAGCTAATCTAAACCTGAGGTTGGTGTTGCCATTGGTACTTTACTGTAGGTTACGTACTTTCACAGGAGCTGGCAAGGCACAGACGTTGCAGACTCCAGTCACTGCCGCATGGCTGCCGAGTCTGGTGCGAATCCAGAGCACAGAACTAGGCTATTGAGCAAACGTGTACGATATGGCACACAGTACCTGCAACACATCCCAAGCGCCCCCAGGGGTTTGGATACCCCAGTTGCTGTAGTTACCACACCAAATCTGAAAACATTTTTAATGCAGCCTATTGAAAACTAGTGGCTTTTAATAATGCCTCAAACCAAACCGCAGCTCCTGATGCCCATGTCAGAATATAACCTGTAGTTTAACTATAGGAACCCCCTGGACAGTTTTACAGTCCTTTGAAAGCATCTTTCAAAAGCAGAGATCAGCTTGTGTGGCACTGACAAAAGCAGTAGGTACCAGGGGAACAACATACACAGCCAATGCTCTCTTTTTTATAAAAGTATTTTTAATAAACTGATGGATTTAAGATGCTAGACAACTTGTTGCCATGTACAGGTAACAAAAGTCAAAATTCTTTGAATTTTATACAAATACTATGTAGTACAGTAAACTTGAATACAAGTTTACAAAAAATGCATCAGTGATTATTCAGCTTGTAACCAACTTCCAACAGTGAAAATCATCATGTACCAATAGTGATCAGAATTGCATTGCAAACTTTAGAAGTAATGCAACTATGTTTTTACCAAGCCACTCTGAAGTTCCTGGTGCACACGGACAGTACATTGGATTTTTTTGGCTTGCTGAACAGAAAATGGCATTTAAAGGACCTTGAGTTAAACAATACATATCAAAAGTACTACCTTACACAAAAATCAAACAAGAATGAGAAAGTAAACAGAGCAGAACCCTGAAGTGCTGATGTTTTTCTACCCGTTTTGATGGAAAAGACTCCACAGGTGTCCAGCTTTCTCACAGCATTTTGGAGTGTTCTAGTCCTAGCACAGTGTGGTCATTAGTAGACTTAAGTAATCCCTGCTTGGCAGTAATGCTGGTGAAAGGTAACTTGCTCTATTGCTAACAAATAGGAGTAACCACTGGCAGGGTGACTTCTCAGAGGTGTCCAGCGAGGCCGAGTTGACAGCACGCGACTGAAGCTACAGTACTGCTTGCTTTGATACAACACCCAACAGCCTTCAGGGTTCAGGGGTCAGTTTCCTCACAGGATTAACAAATGGATGGTTTTGAAACAAGAACAAAAAAAACAACCCAAGAACCCAAAACCCGTTATGGAGCATAAGACAGTATTTTCACCTATACAGCTACCAATAAAATGAAGGTTTTTGTTACAAACTTTCCAGTCTGCTTTATAAAAAATAGTCTTAGTTTTACTTCTAAATAAAAACTGTGCTGTGATCTGTCACGTTCTTGCATTGTACATGCTGTAATTGTGTGTGTTAATGAAGGTGTAGAGATTTGTGACCTAGCGCTCTGGATGTATCAGAAGCCTAAAAAGCTGATTTTGGTACATAAAAGGTAGCAATGAAAATTAATTCTATTTATTTTTTCCTAAAACCTAGGAAAAGCTACAGTACATTGCTAGATCAGTGGCCTCAACCCTGAGCTGAAATGAAGGACCTGCCTTGGCCAAGAGACTCAGTCACGTTACTACCACAGCTGCACAGCAGACACAAAATAACCTGTCTGCAGCCTGTTCTCTTAGCTGTAAGTAGTGTGAGATTCAGTTCTGTTAATGCTTGAGAGTTGACTGGAGACCACCATGTTCATTTTCACTACAGGAAAAAACAAAGGAAGGAGAACTCAAAGTTCAAGTGAAAAAAAAGCACTCAACAGGGAGAGTTGTCAGTATGTCCAGCTTCCGGAGACCAGAGACCACAGCTAGTGGTATACTTGTCAGTTTTCAGCATTTCCCACTTGGTAGAAGTGATTATTAAAACACGTACCAACCTACAATCAGAGAGCCATCTATTATTATCCCACTCTTCTCAGAAGGAGACACCCTTGATTTCCCCTCACCAGAACTGAGTACCCCTCTGTACCTACACTGCATCACAGAAGAAGAATGAAAACTTAAAAAAGACTGTCTGACATAGGATTCAACCTACCAACTGCTACCAGAGAAACTTCCACTTGTTTTGAGTAAGAGTTGGCAACTGAGAATTCTTACTAGGATACAGCCTACTGCACCTTCCTGTAGGGTTCAATGGCACCAGCTACCTATGGCTAGGAGCATTCATCACACGAAGCATTCTTGCATTCTAAAAGGCTAAGAGGACCTTTTTCTCTTTTTTCCCTTTTAAACAGCAGAAACTGTAGAGTCAGTATTTCACTTAATGGAAAAACTAAACTCAGCAACATATCAAAAGTAAAGCTTGTAAGCATCATTTATACCTCTAGTAATGCACACTTCTTTGTGAGCTGATCAGTGTGGGTTTTGTTAGTTTAAGGCAGCAAGTCTTACAAAATACACAAGCTCACCTCCCTCCTGTTTGTGCTACTGTTTCCTTAGGTGCACAATAGAACCTCACTAATTTACACTAATGACTGGAAGAACCATTAATTCTCTTGCTAAGTGAACAAGAATAAGGCATTCCATTATATATTCTCATCACTAATTATAATTTAGCTCTTATTATAATCTACCAGCAAACATACTTCTGTCTTTTAGAAAATAGTATCTCTTACCTTCCAATATAATTACGTGTGCAGATTAGTGGGTTCTGCTGTGTAAACACGCAGGTGCATAAGCAACTTTCAGGTTTTTCTTCATTACATCTGACAAGAAAGTTAATGCCACAGATAGAGACTGTGGGAAAATAAATTAGGGTTTCTCTATAATTTGTGTGGACACGCATGACTGGGCACTAATTTATAGCTCAAAAAACAAAGGACGTGAATGTTTACAAACTCAGAAAGCAAGGCCATTCCCCAACCATAAAGGGCTTGTTTACACCATTCCAAACCATATGCAACAACAACAATAAAACAAAAATAAAATACAAGTACTGCGATATACAAGTTTGAAATCAAGTAAAGCAAACAGTGAAAAATTGTCTGATGCTTCTAACATGATATTTGTATGTCTAAATCCTGGTTGAAGTGGACTGTAAATATAGAAGATAAGATGCAACTACATTTAAAAAGATTTAAAAAAAGAAGAAAGGGATCAATGTGCATTGTAATGAGAGAGATATTTCCCTTCATATGTGCAAAACCCCACAGTTTCATTAATGTAGAGGTCATACTTTCAGTAACAGACCTTGGACAAAACCAGTCTCCCTGCATCCTGGAATCTGCCTGTTTACATCAGCCACTTCGAGTGCACAGTACCCTGTTCACATATCTAGTATTCAGCAGTTTCTGGCATTTCTCAGAAATTTAATGTTCACCTGCCTTAAATCTTGAAAACAAAGGGGAGAGTTCATTCAGGGCATCATACCACTGCTTCTGAGCTATACTAACAGCTAAATCAAACTCAAATTCTCTCTTCTTCCATGGTGGCAGGAGTCCTTACAGGACTTGTAAACAGCAGTATACAATACTGTAAACAAATAATTTAAGTTCTGCTTTGTACAAGATGTTAAGTTAACCCAGGTCTACCAAACAGGTGAAAATGAAAAGGGTGGCTTCACACAAAATCCTTCCCTTTTCTCTCAGCAATTATTTTCACTACATACGTAATCCTGAGCTGAAATAGGGTTTGGAGAGCCTTTTTGCATATAAAAACAGTGTTACAGAGTCAGCTCTCATGTTCTGTCAGGAAGTCAATTGCTGGAGAGATTAAACTGAAGTATTTCAAACCATTTGTTACTTTGGAAGAGGACTTATAATTTGGTGTGGCGTCCAGTTCTAGACCCAGATGCTGAGCTTGCCAAGGAAGCTGATGCAGCTGCATCCTCAGCTTCCTCCAGCTCATCGTGTAGCTCCTGGCTAACACTAGACTGGAGGGCTGCAGGAGTTAGCCACTCCTTCGGCAAACAGCTCTGGAGAAATGGTATACAAGAGCTGAAGTAGGCAAGGCGATTCACCCATCGTGGAATCTCTTTTCCACACAGAATCTAGGGGGAAAAGGAAAGGAAAAGATTAGTTTGGCTCCTGGACTCAGCACTAACAGAACTACAGTACTGTAAATAAAAAGCAAAGGCTGCATTAAATGCTTGGGTTTTACTGTATGTCAGCCATTAAATGGTTGTGTCGTCACTACTCGAGAAGTGAGCTGGTTTACTTAACTACCTCCACATTCATTTCTGGTATTACTTACTCCAGTGCAAATTGGGAGAAGAATCATAGCTAATGGGAACAGTACTCTGCTGTAACTGAGCAGCACTTAACTTGTAATTACATCCCTGGTTTTATAGCCAGTGTGAACAGTAAGTAGCATGAGATGTAAAACACAAACAACATGACTGTGTGGTTGAAGAGTATGGCATAAACCTGGCCATACAGGTCAGATTTCATGCCAACTGCAGCTTTGTCAAGTGTCTCACCCTACTTACTTCTACCAGCACTGCACATCATAGAATCACAGAGTGGTTTGCTTTGGAAGGAACCTTAAAAGATCATCTAGTTCCAAGTAGAATAACAAACAAAATGTCAGTAACATTTTCAGTCTACACAAAACATATGCTATACAATAATTGTGCTAGTAACTATTTTTTTTTCTTAAAAAAAAAAAAGGAACAACTAAATTTTATGGAAGCTCACCATGGGAAAAAAAATAATCACCATCTCTTTCCTGGAGTGCTTCAATAAACATTAGGACACATTATGACAAGCACAGATTGCCAACTAACAATAAAAAAATCACAACTGCCATTCCCCTCTTTGTCCTGGGTTACTTGTTCCTGAGCCTTTCCCTTGTGTGGCTACACATGTGAGCAATCACACATTCGATCACACTGGTGAGCTGATCAAGTTAAAATGAAGCTGAAGGGGAAAAGCAAAGCCCTTTCAACTCCACAGTCACATACTTTGTGCAATCACTCAGGTATCTACATGACCAGGGTGCAGGTGCTGGCAGAGCAGTAACTTGCCAAAAGCTGTTCAAGCAGAAGATTAACACTGTCTGTGAAACCTTGATGCCTTTGTTATTCTTTAACAGTAGGCCGTAATTTTAAACATTATTTTCAGTGTGATGGCTCTGTGGGGAAGTACTGATACAAATAACACGTAGTTCTATCTTCAGTAGTTATCTCTCAAGCATCTGGAATGATTTCAAAAGCCTATTAATACCTGATTTACTAGGTCTCTCGATTAGGAACGCAGCCCTGCTTGAATACAAACTGTGTATGACAACAATATATATAATTTTTGACAGCAAAATCTTGTGCTTTGGACAAATAAAACCTGAAAAGCAGTGACATTTCCCCAAGGTAACAGAGATAGGAAGTTGGAAACTAGGCCAAACATTCCAAAGCAACAGGAAGGACATGACACACTGCAGCTACCTGGGAAGCACCTTTCTACAGACCTTCATGTTTGTTTACCTCAGATAAAGCTGAAGAGAAGTGATTGCAGTTTTTGTGCATTAGGTGATAAGCATTTCCTTTGAATTCTTTTCCAAGCTCTTCTACTATTTTTTCTATGTCATCTTCCATAAAGTCAGTACTGCCTAGAACCACAGCCTCTCTAGAAGAGAAAAAGAGTAGGTGATCAGGCTTCCATGATACAGATGGATTACTGTTCATACGTTACTCAAAAATGGACCCAGTGTGGGTGCTGAGATCTTTCTGTCCTCCCAGAGCAATAGAGGTTCTTTCTATTCTACTTTACAACACCATTTTCATCTTTATCATGACAGATTATTTCCTTGCCAATTGTCCACCTGTAACTCACTTAAGTTCTTTGTAAGTTAACTCTGACAAACACTGGATGCAATTTTCCTCTCCTCTCCTAAAGATATTGTTTCTAAGAGATAGCTGAGAACAGGCAAGAGCTTGTAATGCAGGGAAAGGTCAAGGCAACATTCTTCGAATTTCTCTTTGCATAACAATTTCACTACCTTGAAAAAGTTACCCGATTCTGTATAATACATGAACAAAAGCTAGCCACAAATCCACATCATTTGTACACATTTAAGGAATGCAATGGTACGCTAAACCCAATGTTCTTTGCTGTACACACTATGCTGTCTCATCACCTTTGTCCAGCTATCATTTCTAAGCATACACTAATTTATCAGAAAGAAATCCTCTAGTATCATTCAACTCATCTATATTAAAAAACAAATGCAACAAGTTGTCTTTTAAATATGCCTTCTCAAAAGCAAGAAAATAGCTTTTTCTTACTTAAATTTAAATGTTTCTCCTAGCTCAGAAGCATTTCCTGGTGAAATTTCAAATATTCCAGAAAAAGGGTATGGATGACCACCATAGGCAAATTCTGAAAGAGAAACCTCAGATTCAACAAACATGGCATACAACAACAGTGAAGAACAGCAGACCTCACTGGCTGGAAGATCACTTCACAAGGATCTAAAGCTAGAAACCAGACATCTTACTTACATGGGTAACAAATGCAAAGAGCTGGAAAAGAACAGGTTTGTTAGTTACCAGCCAACCTAAATGAAAACTGACAGGAAATTCCCTAAATCAGTGTACAGGTTTAATTTGAATATAGTAAGTATATATTGTGTTCCTTGTACAAGTGAGGATTTACAAGTTAAATTGTAAATCCTACCAATGTTCTTTATACATACTTGTTCTTAAAAGTCCATTTATATGTTTATAGATTCGGGATTCAAAGTACTGCACCCTCAAAGGTCTGACGGTGCTCCTATTCTACAGCTCTAAGAGTGGCAAAGAGTAGTGGCCTTCTAATTTCTTGATTTGCAGAGTTCAATTGTGCCAACTACTTCACTATAACAAGAAAGTAAATCAGTGCATGCACCTGAAGTCCGCACGTAGCATCTGCTGGCAATATGCATCTACACTACATGAAAATACGATGGTGTGGTTTAGCTTCCTTCTGTGTCTCTACGATAACACAGCACGCCACACCCAGAGTGCAATAAAATGCTTAAGCATGACTTCATGTTTCCGTTCCTCAAAACTCTTGTAACACATCATCCAAGTCTTAGCATTCAGTTTTGTGGGCAATCTTTTTTACAACAGGTTAATAAATAAAGTTTGATGTACTCTGAAAAATGCAAGTCATTGTTTTAGCAGGGCTATGACCAGCTATATGAGAAAGCTGTTGTAATCTGAACAGGAAGGGAGGCACATGTATTTGGCACAGCTCAAGAACTAGATTTCAGGCACAGCACTATTAAGAGTCAGGTTTTTCTGGTTTGGATTAAAAGAAATTAAAAAAGAGTTTGAACAATAAGCATTGTGTTTTGTCAATTTGTTGCTCTGATAACACTTGCAAACCCAGGCACAATGTGACCATTATAGTAGCTGAAACATCTGTAGTTTGAGCTAACTTTGTGCAATGTGGTCTTTGGACAGCATGCCACACCTTTTGCTGCTTCCCCTCACCTCCACACACATTCCCAAAAAAGAACTGGAGTAGATTTTTCTTCTTGAAATGGACTACTTTCAGCAACTATCACCTCGGAGTATCTTCATACTGCTAGGCTTGAACAGGTCAGACACGAGCCTTCCCCCAAGAAACACCTTGGGGGAGCAGTGGGGATTCAAGGTGGCCTGAATGGATCAGGAAGCTACATCCCCAAAGTACAACCTATTTAGCAAAATTGCCGTAATTATCACAAGCGTGTCTTTTGTGAACAGCATGCACAAGATGCCTCTTAAGGAAACTGTCTCTTTAAAACAAACCAACCTACCCATAGGAATAGTTAGTTTTTCTTCAGCATCATGCACTTTTGTGTGCCTACCTTCAACAAACTATTGTTTCTTCAGTTAAAAATTAACTCCTTGCACCAAGTGCTGGCAGAATACCAAGGAAACAATTCAACTATGCTTATATGAAGCATACATTTGTTTTACAATAGTCTTTCAAAGCCTAAATAAAGATTTTTATTCCTAGCAGAATAAACTGCACACTTTTCCATAGCTGCATAGCTTTACACGAGAATCAAGATGACTACCGTATTATTCACATGCAAAGTTTTTCTAGAGGCAGAAGAGATGAGAACTTCAAGAGAAAACTGATGAACAGGTTTCAGGAGCCAGACTTCCCTTGCTACCTGAAAAGTATTTTTCCAAATAGCAGCATTACCAGAACAAAGAGTAAGCTATGTTTTGCTTGTACGTACCTCGGCCATATACCTCTATGCCTGAATGGAACACTCCAATTCCGAGAGAAGAAGTATATTCATTCATCCAATACTAAAAAGAAGGAAGAAAACAAAAAAGACTTTAGTTTCCAAGACAGAATTGTTTTCTGATAGCAGTGGGAGATGTATGTGTCCCCCACATCAAAAGCATAAAACCCTACCACACAAAGTGCAACTGCACAAGCCATTTTATGGGAACAGAATGTGCCATTAAAATCCCCTAACTGCACACAGTGAATTAATTCCATTAGGTTCTACTCCGGTGTTTTAGTTCTGTCAATGCCTGTCAATCAAGGAGAAACCTGGGAGAAATTCAGATCAACTTTCAATTTGTGAACAAGGTACAGGCTGCTTCCTCCTTCCACTCAGAGGAATGCACTCTAGAACCAACTCCTTTTCAATTTGTTTAAATAACACCAGAACATAGGACTGTAATATACACACACCAACTGTCATTCATAGCAGTGATCACACTTCTGCTTACCACCAGATGAGCAGGAGTCTCACTCAGAGATATGCAACACGGGCTGAAATTACCTTAGTATGTTTTGTCTAATTTGTTTAACTGGAGGTCATCATGCAAGAAACTAGGTTATCTTCAGGCTCCTGGTGTATGTCTTCATAGATCAGGTGTCTTTTGCATGGGTCTAACACATCAGTTCTATTGTAGCCAACAGATAATAGCTGCATTTCACAAGGAAACAATTTATTTTTTTTTAAGGGAGAAAAAGAGGAAAGAAAAACCCTTCCCTTAATGCCTTCTCTTTTGTTTTTGAAACAGCAGCAGCAAGTGTCTATCAGGAGCTAACTATTACACTCAAGACCTTAAAGATTCACAGAGGTCTCTAAAGGAAAAACCTGTCTTTCTTTGGCTACATCACCACTTTCAAAATCTGTCTCCACACAGTAAAAATTTGGAAGTGGCACATAATTTCAAAAGGAGCCTCAAACAAATGCTAAAAAAGAAAGAAAAAAAAATTAAAAACCCGCTTCAGTTGTGTCCTGAAACCTGAAATTGGCAAGAAAAACCTCTCAAAAATACAAGAAATCTTGTCAATTTTCAGTTTGTCAGTTACTTCAGGAGTTGCATTTTTTTCCTCCCAGGTCACCTGGTCCCAAAGGGCACTGCTGTGAACTTCTACAAAGCAGACTTCAAAAAGTCATCTGACAGGATAGGGACTGAGGCAGTACCCCAGCAAATGAGTATTTGTTTAGCAGACAGGAAAAAAAGAAGCTAAGAAGATAGCTTCTTTGCACAACCTGCTGACATAGTAAGTGCTTTCTGATATACAGTCACTATTAAAACAGCACAACTCATGATAAAAAAGGAAAGGTTACGGGCGTCATACTTGGTTAAGATGGGCTCGCTGGAGTTAGTACATAATTTACAGGACCATTACAAACATTATGGTGTATAATGTGCATTTCTGAAAACTAGTTTTCCTCCAATAATAATGATACACTAAACTTTGGACTGAGAAGCTATTAATGAAAATCAAGACAAGTTAAATGGCAAAAAGAGCAAGTCAGGCCAAAAGTTACAAATTTTCAGGCCCAAGACATGGATCTATTTGGCTTTTACAGTCATCCTTAGTCTAAGTATTTCAGCTGAAAATTCACAATTGTGCTAGCAGGCACAGGACGCAAATGATAATCTGGGTGAGAAGATGCTGAGGATTTGATGTTCTCTTCCCACAGGTGGCTTGTCTGTAGAAACTGTAAACATGGATTAGCTGAAGACAGATTTTGTTCCTTGTATTTATTTGAAATTAGGGCTCACTGAAATCTGTGGATAAATTTTGCTTAAGACTAAAATTTACCCTTTGCTTTAATTTCTGGCTTTGTGAATGCATCACTATGTTAGCTAGTGGGGTATGGATGACTATACTAAATTATCACCTTAGTCTATTTAAAGGGCTCAGGAGTTTTTTTCCCTCCTGCCCCCAGAAAAGGGCAGAGCTAGTCTGCATGATGAAGCTAGATCCAGAAATATACTGGGTTAAGATTTATTCTCTGTAGAAAGACACAGAACAGGGAGAAAACAAGTAGAGAAGGAAGGAGAACAACATTAAGATTACCCAACTAACTTCATGGGTTTGCGAGCATAAAAACAGCCCATGGATTCTGCTCTCTGAAGCAGAATCAAAGTCACCAGGAAAACAGAAGAGTTACTTCAGCATAAACCTTTCAGTTCTGAAGCCAGTCCTATCCCACACCTCACCAGCTGACCATTTGGAAATAGTTTTAGACTGATATTTATAGTCAAAACCGTAGGCACATTCACCATACAGTTTGTCAGCACAGGAAGAAAGTATGTTTGCCTAATGAAAACATGTATCCAAATGAGCCTAACCCAGAACTGAGCTAGACATGGTCTCTGGTGGCCTAATTTATCCTCTCCTGGGCACTGAATTGGCCAGAAAACTCTGGGCCTGCCCTCTGAATTCCAAATAACCTACACATCACATACATGCTGAATCTGTAAATGCTAAGCGAGGTTATCACTGCTCTCTGGAAAACCGAAGTTACTTCTACTGCTTATGGGCTATCTTGTGTAATAGAGTCTAGTTTGTTACCACACAGAAAGAAGAGACAGAAGTTACTCATGCTCCTTCTCTCCCACAACACCAACTGCATGGTGCAGGGAGAAGACTGAAAAGTGGGTCACCAACCCCCCTCATTGATCCGCACAGAAGCAGACCAAAAGGCCAGAAAGCTGCTCTAACAAGGTGTTCCACAAGTCCAGAGCTTTTCAAGTGTGCACTCTTGCTGGAGCCACCTCAACACACAGGGCTTGCTAGCCTGCAACAACTGAGAACTGGAGACAAATTGAACACATTAGCAGCTCTGGAGGAAGTGCCTAAAGCAAGCACTACACTTAATATTTCCAGTAAGAACAGAATAGGTTAATTGAAGATAAAAGAATTTCAATAAAGCAGAATTACTTTCCCCTTAGGAGTAGTAATTATATTTAATTATTACTTAATCTGAATGAGCTATTGGAAGGTTGGTCACATTTTCTGATTGAATAAAATGCCTTATCCCACCAAAGAAAGAGGTGCAGGACAAATGCACCTTAAAGTATTCTAAATTTGGCTACAGCTGAAAAAAAAAGATGTATGACTTACAAAAGAAAGATTGCTAGTGCAGCAACACGCTGTAAGCTCTGGAATCCCAGAAGCTACATCCTTGATTTTATTACACAAACTGGATTCCCTTCATTTAGTCTTGAATATGAATTTTTCCATAGTAGAATGTATAGAAGACACACAATCCCATACCCTCAATATTTTGCAGTAAGTCAGTCTTGCAAACAGGATTTCATGTTTAAGACAACTATCAGAACAAAAACATTAGAGAGTGTTTTTCTATGAGCACAATAGTCACGTCGCTGAAATGAAACGCTGATCCCAGAGCTTCACAAGTATCTTCTTTACTTTCTCCAGAGCTTTCACTTATGTTAATACTTCAGATTGTTACAGCCTTATTTCACAAGGGGAAAAAATAGGATGGTAATCTGGGCACAAGAAAGCTACCTGTTATTTTTAGAAGTCTAGCCAAAATGAAATCATAAAGTACTCCAGTTCTCAAAACACAATATATTAAAGCCTTCACCCTACCCTTTTAATGACCATATTTTCAAAGACATGATCTGCAGCATGTAAATACGCCCTTAAGCTTCTCTCCCTCTGTAAAGTTACCAGTACTTGAAAGGCCACTTTCTTGTACAACACATGCACGCCTCCCTGCCCGTTGCTTTTATCAAAGGTTTCTGCTTTTTGAAGCACTAAGGACAATGGAAGGGTATACGCTCCAAACCAACCAACTCAGCGCTACTGTAAGGAGTTTCAAGAGTAGCAAGGTCACCTAGTATTCCGCTGCATACCTAAGCAGCTGTCTGGGAAATGAAGCTGCAGTTAGCACTCAGGTTGAAATAAAGATGTTCATCGACTGCTGCAATTCTACCGAGAGTTGATTCTGTCAACCAGGTGACTAACAGTGGTCTCTTGTTCCAAAAGAAAAACATAAAATCCATACCCTAAAATACAAACACCCCCCCTCCCCTAAAACCTCCCTCAAAGTGACATAAAATGTCAGAAACAAACAGTAAACCTGCTAATACCTCAATACACAGGTGGCAGGATTTGATGAATAAACGAAACCTCAAAATAGCTGTAACAAAACTCTTCCCTTCTCTCTTAGTGCCCCAAACAATACTGGTCGATTTGATTAACTGATTTCAGCAGGCTGTCAACATGCTATAATGTAACTGCCATGCAACATGGAAGTGAGGCTTTAGTTTAAGCTCCTGCTTCAAGCAAGTTTAAAACGGACCTAGAACACCATTTAGCAAAAGAGTCTGGGGCAGCATGTACACCAACAGTGTATTTCAGACACCATGGTAACCTCAGTTTTCATTTCCAGTTTAAAGGAAGTCTGTTTCTGTAATGATCAATGGCACATCATTATAAAATAACAAACACAACTGAAATAGGATGTAGAAATATTCTGCTTAGTGGTCTCAGCTTACACTATGTATCATTTGTGGTGATACACAGCTTCAGCAACTACCAGGACTGCAGACCAATGCACAAGACCTGATCTCTATGTGTAATAAAACATCTGCAAATGAGTGTGCATGCTTGCTTCTTTTGGAAGGCAAGCTGCTTCCACAGATGGTGACTTTAGAGACTATGCTACTTGTTGATGTAGGCAGAGCCCCACTGATCACAACAGGAAAACCAACAGCCTGCAACATGTCCTAAGTATGACACTAGCTTTTATGAGCACAACCTTCCTGTTGACCTTTTTTTCAGCCCTCTCCCCTCCTGTCAATTGTCAGCCTTCCTAGGATAGCTGGAGTAAAACTGATCCCAGCAATTCAACCCCAGATGAAAAAGAAAGGAGGATACAGGTTGCAGCAAAGAAATCTTACGAGCAAGAGAAGAAGGAGAACCATGTGAATGAAAGAGTAGACAATCACAAGAGAAAAAGAAAAGGCATGCTGCAGTCACACCCCACCAGTGCTATCATTATAGTGAGAATGGAATTTCCCACAGAGGCCATGGCATCACCTTCCACACAGGCACTTACACAGGAGACAGTCCCCCTCGTTAAGTTCTCACAGCCTGCCTGTGAACTGGCCCAGACACCTTGCACAGCCAATCAAGTCTTCCTGAGAACACTGGGTTTTCCATCATAGTGAGTCAGAAGTGTGTAAAGCTTCAACTTCAAAGATACTATCTTATGTTACAAGCCCTGAAACTGAAGTCCTACTTCTTTCTCTGTACAAGTATTTATAGTTAATATGTAAACCCACCTCTTTTCATGCCAAAGAAGCTTCTCCAACATGCATTTTTGAATGGTAGTTCAGATAAGTCATATATATCCATGCCACAGAGCACCATTCCCTCCTTCAGTCTAGTATAAGGCACAATGACTTTCTGTCATATCAGCAACATGTATGAGCTCAAACAAGTGAGCAAAAATCCCTCTTTTTTTTATTTTTCCTTGGAAAAAAACAGTCAAGAGACTGCTTCTGTCTCCAGTCTCCCCTCATTCTCTACAGTGAAGGAAAAACAAAGTAGAAGTAACAGGTTCTATTCACTGGAGAAAGAACTTGGGACACAGGAATGGGGAAACAAACAAATAAAGAAAAAAAAAATCCTTTGACAGGAACATTGATTTCTATAAATATTGGTGTGAAAGAAAATAATGGTAAGAATCAGGCTACTTCATATAATCTCATATATGATTTTAAATCCAAGCCAAGTAGCTCCCTATTGGTTGCTATTAAATATCCTAGCATTTGAGCCTGAGTAATCCCAAGCAAATAAGCTGCATTTTCTGACAGCAGTCACTGACTCCACTCTGTACCCTTTTAAAACACCAAAAGGTCAACTTAAATGGTGATGGAAGGAAAGCCTACCCAAACTAAGCTAAGTAACACAAACACAGTTAACCTGAAACTAGCTGTCAATCTTACTGTCCCCTTATCAGCAGACTCAGAAGGTGGTCAGAGAACTAGTGCTACTTGTTCTAATTTCCAGTGACTGAATGGCATTAACGGATAATATTTTCTTAATATTCCTTATCCACACCTCCTGTTCTCTGCAGGTACTTATACCTCATTTGTTACCACGGCATTTGAGCAGCTTCCAGCTGAACCTAAGACAATACAACAGTTGCTGTAGGTGTCACAGAAAGATTACCCAGAAGGGAGGGAAGGTGAGCTCATCGGGCTGCAAATCAAGCTGGAACAACTCCTTTATTTCTACTAAGTTGCAGCAATACCAAAACTGTTAAAAAATTCTGGTCTAGGGGAAAAAAAAGCATGTTACTGACACAACGCTATAAACCCTCCTATCCCTACAGAGACAGCAGTTATCCCCAGCTACCATCCTGAAGGGTCAACCGGCCACTCTGATGGTTTTCAGGAGCAGGAAAGGCAGGGCCTCCCCCCTGAGGTGCCCTGGAAGCAATAACGGAGGAATAGCTCGGGGTCGTTCCCGTTTCGCTACCCACTCGCAGCAGGTGAGAGTTTCCCCCGCGATAGGGACTGGGTCCACCCAGCAACAAAACACCCGTCTGGGCCCCACAGCAAACTTTTGCTGCAGGTCACAGGTTATATACAGAAACCGACAGCCTTCCCAAATTATAGCCCTCTTCCCCCCACCTCCCGGTTCGTTGTTTCTCCCGGCCCCGACCGAGCCAACTCAGGCAGGGGGAGGGCAGGAAAAGTTTCCCCCGCCGCCCCGCGGGACGCTCTGCGCCGCGCTCAGCCCCTCAGAAGGGCACAGGGCCCTGCCCGCGCCAGCCGCCACAGGTGCGGGGCCGCGCTGCCTGCCGCGGGCCGGGCCGGGCCGGACGCTCACCATGTCGTAGACGTTGAGGATCACCAGTTGGTTCGCCATCGCCGGCGGCCCGCGGGCGCCCCCCGCCCGCTCGGTAGCTCCCGCTGCGGCGGCGCTGCTGCTCAGGCCGGCGGCGGGGCGGTGGGGACCCCGGGGGGCCGCTTCCTCCTCGTCCTGCCTGTTGCTGCGAGGCGGGGGGGGGCGGCGGGCACCATGGAGCCGCCGCCGCTGAGGGACGGGGCCTCGCCCCCGGCACACGCGCTCAGCCCGCGGCTGGCGGCGGGGGCCGGGCGAGGGCCCCACCCCGGTGGCGGTGCCGGCGGCGGGAAGGGAGGAAGGAAGTCGGGGGTGACGAGGAGGAGCGAACGCGGCGGCCGGGGCGAGGCGCAGGCGGCGGCAGTAACGCGCGCCCTGCCCGGCCTCGTTGCTGTTGCGGCCGGCAGGCGCGCGGGACGGCCTGCCCACCCCTCCAACGGGCGCAAAATGGAGCCGCGCAAGCCCGCCCCCGGCCGCCGCGAGGAGCTGGGCGGTGGAGACTACAGCTCCCGGCGTGCACCGCGTCGAGCCAGGCCGGCAGCGGTGGGGCGGCCCGAGTGTCCCGGTGAGGGTGCCGGGCCGGCCGGGACGGGGAAGGGTTGCGCCATAGCCTTTTCACATGTGCTGGGCTGTGTCGGGCAGGCCTGTTTCACACACGCATATCCATTGTGCTCGTTTCCAACGGCAAGAGGGTCCGATCGGGCCGTATGGGGAGCGTTTGCAGGCACCGCCATTTTATGGTTCTATTCGGTGAAGCAGGGGAATTAGAACCAGCTTTACACAAGTAGCGTTTGAGTGTTCTGGACCTGCAGGTAGCCCATGTGTGGTTACTGGTGAAGCCATGGCCGGTCCTAAGTCTGCAGACACCACAGAGAGTAAACTAGTTGGGTGACCCGGTGGTATGGTAACCTTATATATAACCTTGTGAAGAAATAGCAAAGCAAAAATCCAGTTGGCAAAAGCAGCAGCAGTAGAAAAGATGCTTTCCCTCTGCCAGCGGATTGGAGACAACTGCCCCTTCATAGTACTTCGGAAAAGGTGTGGTTCTCAGCAGGCTGTGGATGTGTTCTGGTGACCAAGATGCAGCTGGAAGAAGGATGTACCACCCCAGGGGATCCTGGCTGCCGCTGTCATTTCTGGCTGCAGGTATTTAACCCCTTTCTCAGCTAAAGCTCCTCTTGGCTGCTGAGGGTATGAACCTGTGGTTCATCTTGGCCATATGTGGGAGGACTCT